ACAGCTGATTAAGTTATACAGTTTACAGCTACATTTGTAGTGTACAAGCTGGTGTTATTGCCATGTTTTAATATCAATTAATTGTTTTTATGTTTACAATTCAGTTGTTTTGTTTACTGAAGAAAAATACACATGAATTTTACTGAATATGTCTAAAACAGTTTATTCTATTAGATAAGCATAACTCAAGGAAATGTTAACCATAATCTAAAACTTTTGAATTATGTTGAATTATAAACAAACAAATCTTGACACAAATAAAGTTGATTGTTAATCTGATAAATTTGAACACAATATCCCAAAGTTTTCATCTTCAGTTTTAATACTTTGTATTTATATTCACCACATCAGCTAAATCGGTTGTATTTTGACTTATACATTATTCCTTAGGCAATATACGGGGACAGGTTGTACAAAAGGGGGAAGATTTAATATCAACAACATGTTCTATGCTCTGCAAGTATGATTTATGATATAAAATTCCATAAATCTGAATCATCCAGTTTCTCTTTATTGATTTATTATCATTTATCAGCCATTGTAATTAATTTGGATTTTAAGTCAGAAAGCACATTTTGGCTTGAATTAAACAAAATCTTTTACAGTCACTGCAATCAGAGCTCAGTTATTAAAAAGTTTTTTGTTAAGAAAGCATATTTAAGTGCAGGTGGTATCTGCTGATTCAATAAGCCATAATACAAAAGCTTGAAAAACAACTGAAACTTGTTCTGTAGTTTTTTCATTCAAATAAAAATCAATTTACGTCATAATGAAGCAAAAACAGCCGTTTTTAATACATGCGTTGCGAGTATAAAATAGCATTTTACTGTCTAGGGGCTAAAAACCCTGTTTACTCTTTAGACTCTAGAGCTCTCTAGAGAGTAAAAACCGCTTTTAGCCCTTAGGGAGTAAAAATCTGCTGTTGTCAGTTCAGTTGTAAATTTTGATTGTAAATTGCATGTATCTAAACTCTAAAGTATGTATCGATTGTAGTTAATTGCTGCATTATTGTAAACAGTTGTCATATCAATAAGAGTACACTAACACAATAATAGACGGAACACTAGAATCACTTTAAACAGCTACTTATTTTCATAAGGAAATTAAATTGAAAACTATTTAGAAATAGTTTTGAGAGGTTATTTTTTAATGAAAACTATTTCAGTTTTTTTCACGTAGCTTTTCAAATAATGATGCAATATGAGGAAAAATAAGTTCATCATATGGGCAAAAAGTGTCTTTTCAACCCTCGCTCATTTTCCGGCCTTTTGGCTTCGCCTCAATCGTAAAACTTAAGCTTGGGTCGAAAAAGTCACTTTACGCTCTAGTGATGAAATGTACTATTAATAGTAACTACTATAGTTCGGCCGCTTTGAAAACGACCTGCGCGCTAATGCTAAATCAATGCTGGAGGAGGTCGCTTTCTAAGCGGCCGAACTATAATATTGTGTCAGTAGAGAAGAAAATATTTATTTTTTATTATATTCTTAAAAATTGTCACTCTTTGCAGCAAATGTGAAGTAAAACGAATTTCAATCATCCATTCACAACTATAATTGGAACAATAATATGGTACACTAAAAAAGTGTTATTACCAAACTAATACATACAAATTTCAACTTGCTTTAAAAAAAAAAAATAGCTATTGATATTGATTCTGTTGAAATTTTGCAGTTTAATTATGTTTCTAAATAAAACTCTTTAAAAGTACAATTATTTAACATTTTAATTAATTTAAGTACTAGCTCTAAAATTGTTAAATGCTATATGAGAAATTGATACTTTGAGCAATGGATGTATTACTGTACTGCATAAACTGTGTATAGTTTATACATGAAATTTCGCCACTCGGATATTGTGTCCAAGTTTATCAACATTGTGCTCTATCTTGAGTTCCAAACTTGTAGACATAAGATCTTCATGCTCAACTGAAGTGCATTGTTGATGTTGCTATATTGTTGAAAGCAGTGCTGCCAACCGCTGTGATATTTGTTAATGCAGTAAACTGTTTTACCAACCGAGTTGATTATGTTCAATGTACTTGACAATTATTCTACTATGTTGTTGTTGTTAGTACTATGTTTCTACTTGTTGCTAAATTCTTTGTTGTACGGTAGTAAATAAATGTATCAACCATTTGGACGCTAAATTGTGATCGATTGGATACCTTTGACTATTGGTTGGATCTAGACATTCTGGTTTTGGATCAAAATCGTAATTGAATTGAGTCAGAGTCACTGGCAGAGTGAACTGTTGCGAATTACAGATTTCAGTTGAATAAAACAACTTTTCAACCAAGTCAAGCTTTTAGGATGACTTTATGTTTTAATCTATCTAATTTTCTATTTCACACCAAAAATCATGATCTAATACTAGAGGTTAAAATAAAATGTCTTCCGTTAGTGTGACCAACCCCATGTAGCACAGATGGTTGGGCCAACGTTGGTAAATTGTGGAGCCACACAGTTGGCCAACGGTAGAAATGTCACCTCTTTAAACTGTTTTCCAGCCAACCATTGACCAACCGTTTTATTTCACACAAAATAATAAAGATTTAGTACGAAAAGCATAATTATTAGTTGAGTAAATTGATTAAATAGTTCATAAAAACAAATTTTGAAAAAAAGCTAGAACAAAATTTTTTGGCCCAGACGGGTCTTGAACCCGGGTCCTTCAACTTATGAGCCTCTTACTTTACCACTGAGCTATCTGTGATTGTTGTTATAGAGAGTTTTCAAGTGGTGAAAGAGTAGCCGACAGTTGCAATGGTCGCAATACTTCATACATTTTTACATTTTTGATACTACACAGTATAATATGATTCTGTTAATCTGTTAAGGCATCATAAGTTATTATTTTTTTTTTTTTTGGAGTTAGAGAGGATACTGGTATTTGAATATAGATTAATTAATTACTGTTAGATTATTAATGCTATTATAATTGCCTGTTATATGATTAATTACTCTTTCCCCTTAAATTGTTGCAAATAAGTTAAAGAATATTCATTTAAAAAATATTTGCATTATTATAATTATTAAAATTCATTGTTGTAGCCCCGGAACTGTAATATATAAAATATCTGGTTTTACAATACCTTTATCAGTTCCAAAAACTTTTGGAAACTTTTGGAACTGATAAAGGTATTGTAAAACCAGATATTTTATTATAATTATGTTGTGAAAGCTAGACCCAGAGAATGAAAGTCGTGTAAACTCAACTATGGACCATCGTTGGTCCAACAAAAGTATCTTTTGTTGGTCCAACGGAGTGAAAAACGGTTGGACAACGGTTGGCTTGATGTATGATACCCAGCAATGCATATTAATAATGTATTTCATTAACAATGAACCAATGTTGGTCCACAGTTGTAAATATTGGTTGGCCCAACTACGAGATATACAGTTGGACAACGGTTGGTTGGTTGTGGAAGCTCCAACCAACCATCGACCAACTGTCCCATAGTTGGCCAACGTTGGCCCAACCATCTGTGCTACATGGGACGTCACCGATGAGTGGCGACTGGTTTCAACCTGGCAATTTGGTCATCTTCAGGAGATAAAAGAACATAATTTCACTCCGAAAAGGCCGTCAGAAAGTCTATAAATACATAACGAACACTTAAATACATTTTAAAAAAATACGTGTGGCCACAAATTGACTGCGCCACAGTGCTATGCGTAAAAAAATGTATTTTAGTATAGTTTTTGTTATATATTTATAGACTATCTGACGACCTCTTTGGAGTGAATTTATGATCTTTTATCGCCTGAAGATGACCCCGTTGCCGGGTTGAAACCGGTTGCCACTCATCGGTGACGTTGATTACTCTGAGGGATGAAAGGTATTTTAACCTCTAGTATGAATTTAAATTTGTGACCAAGAGGCAAAAAAAAAAAAAAAAAAAAAAAAAAAAAAAAAAAACTGAAATGAAATCATGATCTCAGTAACAAAAATCATGGTCAAAATAGAATCACATATGAAATAATTACTTTTAGTAATTACTAGTATAAAACAATAATAGCCTAATAATATAACTATCACTAATTTATACATTTGATACCTACTGAGACATTGATCAAAAAATAAATACTAAGCTTATATCTTAACCTTAAGATCATTACTTAAACAGTCTGCGGACCATAAGACAAAATGTGCTAGGTAAGCTTCTCCCAAATGGTTATGTCTGAACATTTTGGCCGTTATATAGCTGAGTGGTGGATTTAGCCATTGCCCATTTGCTCAACACCTCTTAGAATACAAATGGCTCTTTGAATGTCCCCTACTGGTCAGCATAAACCAAATGTTTTGTCTGTATTGTAAAACTAATGTGACTTTCGTAACAATAACTTGTCGGATTTTAACCAACAGTTTACATAATTGTCATTGTCAATATCACGACATAGCTGAAAGTGTTTGGTGATTGGCAGGAACTGAACCTGGGACCTTCAGGCAGAACTACATAGCTGTAACTACTAAGACCAGCCGCACCTACCACAAACTGGAATCAATAAATTAATTTTTAGATAGGACCGTTTTCCAATGATGAAATATTTCTAACCAAAATACACGTAATAGTAAACAAAAAAGATGCTATATATTTTTTTGGTCAGAAACATTCTTTCAAAATTAACCTTACAAATTACAATTAATATCTTATAAAGTATAAGAGCAGAGAAATTAACGAATTTAATTATTGATAATGAGATATTGAGTACAAAGAATGAAGTATTTAAAATATGTTGTTTAATCAACCAACTCAACAGAATTATCCTCTCTTAAATGACATTTTGCTAAGCTTTTATCAAAGCCTTAATGACTGTATTGATAGTTTAATAAAATAATCAGAAAGGATTAAAAGGTTATAATTAGCTGAAAAAAGGTTAAAACAACTGTGGTCAGACAACCAAATACATATAAATGGAAGGGAAACCATTCTTTTGGAAAACCAACTTATATACCTGTATATATAAAAAAAAAATTAGGTTTTTAATTTGAATGTATTAATGCAGTAAACACATTTAAATCCCTACTATTTTTAATATACAATAAAAAAATGTGTTTCTGCGTCATAGTCACTTAACTCTTTTTTAGTACTAAAAAAAGTTTGATTACATACAAGACAAGTCTATACATTTGTTGAATTGTATACTTGAAAAATATTCAAATATACATATTGAATCTGCTTCTTTAGTAACAAGAAAACTTTCAATCTTTAAATTGAATCACGACCACGTTTGTTTAACAAGATCGGCAGCCTTCTCTCCAATCATGATGGAAGGAGCGTTGGTGTTGCCTCTCACAATGTCTGGCATTATAGAAGCATCAGCAACTCTGAGGTGTCTCACCCCCTTCACCTGCAACTGAGGGTTGACCACGGACGTAGGATCATCAGCAGGTCCCATCTTGCAGGTGGAGGTGGGGTGGTAACATGTCGTCACAAAGTGTTTAAGAGAACAAATCCTGAAGTCTCTTGAAGACACCACATACTTGGAGCAAGCAGGAGAAACAATTTCATGAAACTTGGTGTCCAACAATTCCATACCTTTGGTTGCCGCTAGCTTTGATAGAAATTCAGTGGCTCGTAAAAGCGTTTCTACATCATGTTCATCAGTCAAATAGCTAGTCAAAATTTTAACCTTGTCTTTTGGATTTGTAGATCTCAACAGGATCCGACCTCTGCTATGAGGCTTCAATAATGTCGGCATTACTGGTGTTACAAATCTTTTGGAATTTATATCCAGGAATGATTTAATAATTTCATCCCGTATACCAAACCCTGCCAAAGCACTTGTGAGTAACGAAGTGTCGTTAACATCAATATCGTAGTGGTGGGTTTGAATGTCAGGAATATCAGAAACAGCATCAACAGTATTTATGAAACCAGAATAGCTCAGCATACCTGTACTGGACAGTTGACTCGTAGAAGGTGACATTAAATATTCATACATACGGTCTGTCAATGTTTTAAGAGGCCTTGAAAAATTGTATGAAAAGAGCAATCCAGTCATCAACATGTGATCTTGTAGGTTATGCCCAACTGGCAAATCTTCAATCACATCAATTCCTAACTCCTCCAGATGTTGTTTTGGCCCAATTCCTGAGAGCATGAGAAGCTGTGGTGAATTTATTGCTCCGGCAGAAATAATTACTTCCTTCTTCGCTTTAACAGTTATCTCTTCGTTATTATAATTCAAAAATTTTACTCCCTGTGCTGTCTTCAAATCTTTCTCAATCAAAACCTTAGTTGCCAGTGAGTATCTAGAGACTAAGAGGTTTTTACGGGTTGTGAATTCTTTTAGGAACGCTTTGGCTGTACTACATCTTCTACTTCCAACAATCGTTCCTTGTAGCTTGGCAAACCCTGTTTGTGATTCACCGTTATAGTCGTAATTTGCTTTGTATCCTAGTTCTTCCATACCTTTCGTGTGTGCGTTGACCAAATCTTTTACATAATCGTCAATAAAAGATCCAACAGTCAAATATCCACCTTCACCATGAAAATGTTTGTAGTTATTGTGTCTTAAAACTTCTTCCGCTTCAATGTTTTCACTCTTTTTGAAGTATTTAAGCACGCTCTCATAGTCCCATCCTTCATTCCCTGCCCTAGCCCATCCATTGTAATCTTCTTTGTTTCCTCTGACATAGATCATGCCATTGATTGTGCTAGAACCTCCAAGAACCTTTCCTCTGGGCCAAAAACAGCTGTTATTCACCATGGCCAGACAATTGTCTTCAGCAGAGTCAGTATGATATTGCCAGTCATAACGAGTCTTCTGCAATGCACCATATAATCCTGGGATTTCCGTTGTTTCTTCTGGATTCCCACCAGCTTCAAGCAGCAGGATTCTCCAGGAAGGTACCTCGGATAACCTGTTCGCAATCACAGCACCTGCAGATCCTGATCCTACAATGATGAAATCAAACTCTTCCCCATCGTGAGGTCTGTAGTAGTCTGGGTAATTTGTTGAGTTAGCCAGCAAACATTCTGCAAGCAGGACTGATGTCTTGATATCTTGTATTATAGAGCTGGCCAAGTTGTTTGGATTGTATTCGGTTTTTGGGCAGGTGTCTGGGAAAATTATTGGAGTCTCTTCAGCTGCAATCCTATGAAAAATAATTATTGACAGTCAGGAATTATTTTTTATTAATAATTTTCTAGTCGAAACACCCCGCACTTTTCACCATACATCTTAAATTATCTGCAATAACCAATTAACCATAAACACTCACCATTAGATGCAAATTTATAATAATAAATGCATGATTTGTAACACACTAAGTGCATACTACTCTTCTCAAGGTTGAAAAGAACGTCCTAAAACTACCCCAGTAACCCATTGAAACATCAAAACCATGTCAAAAATAGTATTAATCCTTTTTAATAGCTTACTCTAATTTCATTATTCAAAATAAAATCAGGGACAGTAATTTTCTTTATGAATATGGCAACTTTTAGAGTCTGTTGTATATACGACAAAGTGCAACAAGCTATCATAGAGTCCCAAACCTTTAAAATTGTTATACACTGTGGCAAATGCAAAACAAAATATTTTCAAGATTTATAAATGCATATAAAAGCTAAAATGGAGGCATAAAAATATACTAGTAGTTCACATAGAGTCTTGTCCAAAAACAAGGTATAGGCCTACAGATCAGCAAGTTTTAGTAGATCAAGAGTCAGTAAATTTGATACTCGAAAGACAGTTATATCAAAGTCGAATGATGGTCTAAATGAAGCAAGAATGTATTCCCTGTCAAAGTCCTATTATGTGACATTTTAAGTGAAAATCTCCTTATATTTAAACGCGAAATAAAAGTATTTTTTATTTTGAAGATTCTAAACCAACCACTTAAGGGGTTTTCATGAATCTTCTGTTTAAATAATGATAATTTTTAGAAGGATAGAATGTTAGAGCCATAATTTAAATTTTTTGTTTGAGTTTTTTAGACATTTAGATTCAGATTTATGTATTTTTTAAGTCTAGCAGCCAACACTAAGCTTTTATGATTGTTCGAGTGCAATATCATTTGGTTTAACTAACAGCTGGTTTATTTTTATGTAGTTTTTCCTTACGTAAAGGATTTGCGAAATATGTAATTTCAAACTGTATTCCAAACGTTTGCATGTAATCAAGTTTTGTCGTAAATATTATCTGTGTGAATGTAAGGTTATGCTATAAAAATTCAAACTCAAGAAGTTACTACCATGTTTTTTGGCAAACTGTCACTAAGTTGTATATACTACACCATAAGTGGTTTACATGTTGATGGTTGATGGTTTTTTTCTTTTCCTAATGTTTGAATGTCTGTCTGTCATACATTATGTTTAGTTAAAACTGATCAACCCTTATATTAGACTATCAGTATGAAATACTGGTCTCTAGAAAAACTGATTCTCATATGGGTTTTGTTGTAATAGAAACAAAACCAATTTCCCTACTATGCCATAATCATGCACTTCTGTAATGGGTCAGACACCTTTGCACTAACCAGGGAATTTGACAAAAAAAGATTATTGATTTTGAAAATAGAGCGGTGAGTAAATATATAAACCAGTAAAGATAAATCAGGCTGAAGGAGATAAAGGAACAGAGAGCAAAGAAAAATATTTTATAGGCCAATTTTAAACAAGTATGAAAGCTCACTATATCCAAACATATTTTTAGAATAAACATATAGTCCTACCTAAGGGCCTACCAAAAGAATAATTTGATATTTTGCTTAAAACATACATACTCATAAGATCTATCATAGTAAAAAACATTGTATACTCACCCATATGCACAATTACAGGTTACTGAACACAAAATAAATATTAAAAATGGTTTCATTGTAAATTTTATACAAAAATGATAAATACCATTCTCGATAGTACCGGTAACTATTCAAATATTTTTTTTGGACAAACCATACACAAAAAATCAGGTCACTTGTTTAAAATATACTGTGTAGTCTGTTTAAAATAAAATTTACTATAAGCAACTGAAAGAGTACATTAGCTTAATTTAACCTTGAAATGTTGTGATAACTTTTGATCTTTTACAATGTGGAAAGTACAGAACTAAGAAAAAGTCTAAAAAAAAAATCTTTTGTTGAAATCAGCTGTCTAATTTTGTAATATTTTATCAGTCCATTCAATTTTTTTAAATCTATTTTGAATGAAAATTAATTTTGTCAAACTTGACAGATAAAAAACTGTTATCACAATGCTTTGGCTATTATCCAAATAAACAGGAGAAGCTTGTAATTTATTTAAGTTGTGGATACAGTGCAGTGAAATCTGACAATTTAAAAAAGTTGTTTCGCCTAACTACTGTAACTTTTAAGGAGTTTTAGAAAATAATGCAAGCCTTTTGGAATTGATTAATATATTTAAGCTTCTCAAATGCTGCCTATGTTGAATAAATCATAAATTTTAGGGATTTGGTAAACTAAAACTGATAATTGAATAAAAGTTCATAAAACTATTTTATATCTTATTTTCAAATTAAAAAACAAAATTTAAAAATTTTGAAGATTTAGCAAGCAAAAAGAGAATAGGAAATGTTAACATTTTATCCAATGAATGGAACATGAAATATTGTTTCAACAACCCATAAAAGTCCTTTTACACGTAATATAAAAATAAAAAATACCCAAATTATTAGCAATATCCAGATTAATTTACAGCATGATTAAACACCTCGTCACAGCAAACCTGCAGGCTAACCGAATTTCCATTTGTTTTATTGGATTTTCCCTAAAATATCTCCTTAATAATGTCATATTTATGTACAACTAACAGTCTAGGACCTATCACAGAGTTTTGAAGTGGCATCATCACCTAGTTGAAATCTATGAGTGACAGGTGGTACTGTACTTGAACCTTAAACAACAGGAAAATAATTACCTTTAAACTATAGCTGCGCCCATTTGTAGGTAGATGCAAAGTTTAAACAACAATTTAAAATGTTTTAAATCACTGATAACTGAAAATCATATATTTTTTACTAAAATTATTTATGGTACCTAAACAGAAAGAAAATCACTTGAATGCAAAGAAAACAATAAACTATACAACCGATATTGTTAAATGTATAAATCGTTTACTTAAATACTAGAACTATAATATAGTGGAAAAAGAAGATTATAGCAGCCTTTGCTCTTGTCTTTACACAGCTTGTTATTTTCCTTAATACAGATTGAGTGGAAAAGTAAGTTGTACACAAGTTCTACTCAAAAGAAAACAAATATGAAGCCTGGTACGAATTGGCCATTATTGCGAACTTCTTCATGTTGGAAGAATTTTCAAGCACTCATGGAACACAGTGGAACAGTGACTTTTCTCGGAGAAATTGAAAAGTTGGTTTTGCAGACATTGAATTGTCACGTTACAGATTTAAGGAAAAGTTGTCTGAAAGCTGAAGAGAAATTGGTTTATACACGACCTTAAATAATTTATTGAATCATAGCTTGAAAAGCTGCTTGCAGGACAACTGATTCGACCCATATCTAGTAGAAGTAATTACACGTGTTTTTTTCAATTAAATAAACATTTTTTATGAAGTTTTATCCTGAATATTAATAGGCAAGCATTTTTTTTTAAACCTTATTTCTCAGCTCGTGTGCATTACAGGGAAAATCTACGTATAATGCTAGAAAGATATTTTCCTGCAGATGTGCAGAGTCCCTTCATAAATTAAAATATACTCAAAAATAAGCACACAAAATGAATTTAAAATCGAAAAATATATACCAAGGGCCTTATGGGTTGCCATGTTGGTGACGAAATAGCAACGAAACATAAACAGAAAATCAAAAGAAATGCAAGAAATTCCAACGACATGTTTTATTTACAGCGAAGGGTGAAAATAGAGAAGTCAGTACATTACATATTTTTGGTCGATTTTTTGACCACTGGACGACTTCTAGTGTTTATCAAACTCTAGTTCCGATATTGACTCACATTGATAAGATATTGAGATAAAAAACTACAATTTCACCAACCATATTAACTTGGAGACTAATACCATATTTTTGAAATAAATTATACACATTAATAACAGTAAGGAAAGTATCTATGAATATTTCATAATTCTCAGTAATAAATTGAATGCGGTTGAGCCTGAAGACATTTATCTTGTCATTAATTAAGTCTGTATCTCACTTCTCGACGGTTGATTGGGGAATTAATTTACTAAGTAACTGGATACTTAGTATCCGCCCTGAGGTAAATCAAGTTTACTTTTGCAATAACTGATAAGTAGATCAAGTAGGTAAAACTATATAGCTTTGAGCCATTCATTTTCTTTAAGTTTAAAATTGTCAATAGAAGTACGTCTGTACTAAACGTTTGTCCTTAATTCATTACCAAAACGTCCAATCGATCACTGAAAACTATGATCTATGCGAAAATTTAGAAATTAAGTTTAAGTTTGGCTGATTTAATGACGGGAAAAGCATAATTTTGTGAAGGTGATGTATTTATTTATTATATTAATGTAATTCAATATTATACTGTAGGCCTACTACCAAATCATGCTCTAATACAACCGCGGCGAGACAAAAGTGGCAGCGCCGCAATCCCGGCCTACCGAATCAGCTGTTGTACCAACTAATATTGGAGCTTCTGCACAATGTTTATGTTCACCTGTTTCTTATTACCATAGCAACAGGCCGGCCAGTGCGACGTTGCCACACCAACGCTGCAGCCTTGAGGAGCCTATGGTAATACGAAGGTAATACGTACCTTTCCTAATCAGTGCTAAAAATATTGTATGATTAAAAAATACATCGTTAAATTCCCTCCTTAAACTACGTGAATATATAATTATATTGAGTATATTTCATGAGTTACTACTAAACTCAACCATTTTTGGGAACACATACACTAACATTAAATACTATTTGTATAATATTAAAAATTATAAAACCTGTGCATACATCTAAAATTCCCCTCGGGGTCATAGATTATAAAGGCTGTAGGTAAGAAATTACTGAATATTTTTACTTATCCATAAAGTTATATTATAAAGCTTATTGTACTACCTTCTCTAATGCTAAAACATCTTCCACCCTCCCACCCTCTCACCCACACCAACCCCCCTCCCACTATGTCTTGGGGTGGTCATTAATAAGACTAGCTTCATTAGCGAAATCACAATTGCTCTACGCACTAATTAATCACGTTGTAACTTAGCCTTAGAAAGAAAATAGTTTTATGAAACAGAAAACATTTTTATAGTACTGTAATTTTGTCTAAATATTGTACCACGATTTCTCGGCATTGGTTTGCGAAGGGATTGGTTTAAAGTTTAAAAACTATCTTCGAGATGGTAAATAAAAATATTTAACTTGGGATCGGAAATTATTGTTAAATTAAATTGTTTAGGGGCAAAAAAGCTTAAAAATGTGAAATCTTCCTTATTTGATAGGCTTTTGAATTTTTTATTTAGAATAAAAACATGCTTTTGGCCTACTGTTAATAAGTTGCGCAGTATAATTTCTTACCATTGATTCAGTGTTCCCAAAACTTAAATATAAAACAAAAAATAATAATACTTAAATACGTAGGTTAAAAAAAGAACGGCAAAATCGCATCAAATATACCCCCATAAGAATACAATTTGGAGTTATTTTTTATTCAAAAAGGGTCTTCTCAATTTCAATACATTAAAAAAGGTTTATTTGTATTAACATTTATTTTCTTTTGTAACAATCTCAATCATTAGATAACAAACATGTTTAGGCATTGGAAATTTCTTTTCCAATTTACTTCTTCAAAAGAACTTTTCAAGCACTTATGAAGTACCGGTAGAAGACGACAAAACTTTCTCAAAATAAATTGGAAAGTTAGTTTTAAGGACAATAAATCGACACGTTCCAGGCTGCTTGAAACTTTGAATGGAGGATTTCTTAAGCATCAAATGCAATTCTGAAATTTACAAACTGTTTGCTGAACCCCAATACTATATATATATATATAATATATATTACATTTAGTCTAAAATTAATTGTTATATTTCTTTGTTAATTAAAATAAACTTGGAGAAACATTTATCTTTCTTAATTTGTTGCTGCTGGGGTGATGATTTTTCTTTTAATTATTCAATATTATTTACGCTTGTAAAAAAACATTAGATTTTTTATGAACACGCTATATTAATTGGCGCCTGCAACTCTTGTGATACTCTAGTACATTCATGTGAACGACGAGATTCTTAGCTGTTTGAAGGCGTTTTGTTACCGCCAAAATCTAGATAAAAATAAAATAAAATAAAAATAAAAACGTCTTTATTAGCCAGCGCTTCTCTGATACATATCAGTTTTTTAGAACAACTTTTGTCATATAACTACTGTCTACTAGATCTCCACCATAAAGACCGAAGAGAGATTTACCTACCTCAATCAGATTGAAATTAAAATAAGTAGAATAATTAAAATCCATTTTCATAAAATGGTTCGTCTGTCTCTTGTTTACATTACTGTGATTAAAAAGTCAACTGATGGATCAGCTGATAGCATAAATAAACATTTTAACCGTTACAAATAAAGTTTTTCAGGATATTTGAAAGCGGACTCTGGAAATAATTGAAACACTAGAGGGGCAAAGCCCTGATGGAAACTGTATTTTTTGTTATCGTTCGGAGGTGCGCTTGATCATAAGCTTTAAAATGACAAATCAATAGGGAAAATTGGTTAAGAAGGGCAGCTGGAAAAGGGATGTTCTAGAGGAACCCTTTATTGTAAAATGTATGTAAACTTATGGAGAAACTATTTTAAATTTCATACTTTGAAATTTAAAATATGAAATTCATCGCTCAGTGTGTGGACAGATTTAGAATCTACGCTGGCATACCCTTCCTATGACATTTAACAAAGAAACCACAGTAATAGCAATTTTACACTTATCTTACTTTGTTCGCAAAATAAATAAACGGCTTGGCATCAAAAGTTTTAGAAACAATATATCAACAAATTATTCATATAG